GGGTGAGTGTGCGTGCGTGCCCACGATCCCAAGAGGAGATTGGAGAAGGGATTGCGATGTGGCCATCCCCTCTGGGGGGGGGTGATTTCTCGCTTTTTCTCTCTCTCTCTGTCTTTCTGGCGAGCACACCTGCCCTATAGCAAAAATCTATTCAATTAAAAAAAAAATAGTAGTTTCACAATGCCCTCTCATTGCCCTTTTATAACTATACCAATCTAGCTCCCTCATGTGCCTCCAAGAAATCAATTCTTCTACATACATATCAGATATGTGCCCTAAGAATCTTAAATACAATTAACAAGAGCATATTTCAAAATCCAGGTTTTTCCCAACTTTATAAAAACTGAAATATTCAGGTTCAGGTGTTGCGGAGGTTAAGGCGCTGGACTCCCACATGGCTGACCATAGTTCAAGTCATGGACCTGGCAGTTTGAAAATCACACCAGGTGTTTGTTGTGTGTGTCCCAAATCCCAGGAGGATAATGGAAGGGAAAGGACTGTGGCATGGCCGTCCACCCTGGTAAGTGATTTCTCTTTTCCTATCTCTCTCTTCAGTAAGTGCATGTGTTGTACTGCAAAAACCTTAAAAAAAAAAAAAAAAAAAAATTCAAGCTCAAATGAGACATAAGTAAAAAGGCCAAGTCAAAGTATTCGTAAACAGGGGACCAGCAGTTGGCATAATGGCTATATCGCCTGGACTCTCTGTAGTCAACCGTGGTTCGAGAACCAGACCCAGTGGCTTAAACTCACGCCAGGTGTGTGTGTGTGTGCATGTCCAAGATCCTGAGAGGAGAATGAAGGAGAAGGAATTGTGGCGTGGCCAACCCCGCTAGGGGGGGGTGATTTCTCACTTTCTCTCTCTCTCTCTGGTGATCACACACACCCTACAGCAAAAACTTCTCCCCCAAAAAACCACTCTTAAACTTTAATATTTATGAATATTAAGAAAGTACTATGCTCAGAAATAAAAAAGAAAAAATGTATATATTTTATTTTCCACAAAGACTAACACTTAAGCTTCTACTGAAAGCCAAATATTCTAATTTTTCAATTTCTAAAGCTTTCGAAAATTTTACATCTGCATCTCACAAACAGAAAATGCACTGACCTTACCTTCCACGCAGGCTATGTCACACTTCACTTATATATTAACAACTTACCTTCAATTTCACCGGGGATGGTCGATGCCTCTTTTTCACTTCTACCCAAGGTTCAGAGTCAAAGTCAGGCAAACTGGTAGACAAACCTCTAGACATAGCTTGAAGATTACTTGTTTCAGTGTTTTTCTTTGGGCTCAATGGACTTCCAATTCTTGGAGAATTTGGGGCAGATTCTAAAATTTTAAATTAGTTCTACAGTTAAAACGATAATGGTTTTTTCCATACTTAAAAAAGGTACTTCATTTTATTCCTTAACTTGGGTTTAGTTTTATTTTCCACACAAATGTCAGTCTGAGTAATTATCTTTCCAATGATTTTCAAACCTGAAGAACTTGTAAGATTTGAAAGTGAAGCCACTGAATAATAAAAGGAATGTCACCAACCTTACACAAGCACATTTATTTGAACATTTCAAGTATACCACATCACCCCTTACTGATTTTCTATAAAATCTTAGATTGAAATTATGTCATCTCAAGTGTTATGAGGCCACAGTTAGGCTAAATGAATCTTTTCTATCAAGGTCAAATTAATCTGTCCATGTTCTACTAGCATATCTATACAGAAGTGGCCTTTATTCCTAATATTCACATTCCATTTACTTAACAAGGTTTGCCTATATGCATTAAGTGTAGTATGCCCACTTACTAGCTTGGCTTATACTGAAAACCACACAGAATATCACATCATTAAAATGCACAGCTCTAGGACCAGGAGATGGCATAATGGCTACATTGCTGACTCCCACATGGCCAACTGTGGTTTGAGTTCTAGACCCAGTGACTTAAAACTCATGCATGCATGTGCATGCAGGCCCCAAATCCCTAGAGAATGAAGAGGGGCCAGGGAGGGCCATCCCCCCAGGGGATGATTTCTTGCTGTCTTTCCAGCAAGCACACACACCCTATAGCAAAAATGTAAAAATTAAATAAAAATAAATGAACAAAATACACAGCTCTGGCACTAATTACATTTAAAATGTTTCTCTACACCATCAAGTCAACTGGAATATTCTTTTTTTTGGGGAAAGGTTTTTGCTATAGGGCGTGCGTGCTCGCCAGAAAGAGAGAGACAGAGAGACAGAAAGCAAGAAATCACTCCCCGGGTCATGGCCACGCCGCAATCCCTTTTCCTCCATTCTCCTCTCAGGATCTTGGGCATGCAAGCACACGCGCCCGGCATAAGTTTAAGCCACTGGGACCGGGACTCGAACCACGATCAACTACATGGGAGTCCAGCAACATAGCCATTACGCTAACTGCTGGTTCCTCAACTGGAATTCTTTTTTTTTTTTTTTTGGAGAGATTTTCACTGTAGGGCGCATGCGCTCGCCAGACAGAGAGAGACATAGAGACAGAAAGCGAGAAATCACCCCCCAGGGGGGATGGTCACGCCGCACACACGCCCAGCGTGAGTTTCAAGCCACCGGGTCCGGGACACGAACCGCGGTCGACTCTGTGGGAGTCCAGCGACATAGCCATTACGCTAACTGCTGGTTCCCGTCAACTGGAATTCTTTTTAAAATTTGCCAAAGGGTATGTGTGCTCACCAGACATTTTTGAAATCACATGCACAAATACCTGGCTTGTTTTTCAAGCTAATGGGTCAAGGACTCAAAACTCATTGCCAGCCAGTTGGGATCCAGTTTCCTTAACCACTATACTACAGGCCCAGCCCAGTGCCAGAACATTTTTAATCAAAAGTTAACACATTTGACAAGTAAGATAAAAATGGTTTCCTTTGTATGTTTTTAAAATTATTTAATTTTATTCAATCATTTATTTTAATTTGATCAGAGAGAGAGAGCTGCCAGGTCCGGGACTTGAACCATGGTCAGCCATGTGGGAGTGTCCAGCACCTTAACTACCATGCCACCTGTTGGTCCCTCCCTTTGTATTTAAGTCAAAGAATATGTTAAGTATTTTACGTTACTGGGTTGGTGGAAAAGTCGACTAATTTTTGTATAGAAAAACATGGGGGACCAGCAGTTGGCATAATAGCTATGTCACTGGACTCCCGTGCAGTCAATCGCAGTTCAAGTCCCGGACTTGGTGCTTAAACTCACACCAGGTGCATGTCTGTGCATACCCAAGATACCAAGAGGAGAATGGAAAAGGGATTGCGGTGTGGCCATCCCCTCTGCAGGGTGATTTCTCGCTTTCTATCTCTGTATTTCTCTTGACTTTCTGGTGAGCGCATACACCCTATTAACAAAAACCTCTCAAAAAAAATAATAAAAACATGGAAAAATATGTCATGGGGAGCCAGCAGGTTGAGGTAGTGAAGGCACTGGACACTCCGACATGGCTGACCACAGTCCAAGTCCTGGCCCTAGAGGCTTGCTTTCTTACTTTCCCTCTGCGTGTGTCACTCTCTATATCTCTACCTGGTCAAATTAAATGAATACATAAAATCATATAAATAATTCTTTTTTTTTTTTTGAGAGGTTTTTGCGATAGGGTGTGTGAGCTCCACAGAAAGACAGACAAAGTGAGAAACCACCCACTCCAGGGGGGATGGCCACACCGCAATCCCTTCTCCTCCATCCATTCTCCTCTAGGGATCTTGGGCATGCCCGCACACAAACGCACCCAGCGTGAGTTTAAGCCACCGAGTCCAGGACTCAAACCACAGTCCACTACGTGGGAGTCCAATGACATAGCCACTATGCCAACTGCTGGTCCCGCAAATAAATGTCATGATTTTTCTGACAATCTTTGGGTCGGAAGGTACAATGTAGACTTATTTTAAAGAAAGTGTTTTGAGAGGTGGTATGGTGGTTAAAAGCGCTGGACTCCCACATGGCTGACCATGGTTCACACCTGGACTTCAAGCGCTGCTTTCTCCCTTTCCTTCCCTCTTTCTCTCTCTTTCTCTCTCTGGTCAAATTAAAATAAATAAAGATAAATAAAATAATTCTTTTTTAAAAAGTAATTTTTAAAAAGTGTTTTGAGAAAAGAATACTATGTGCTGGCCCCCATGGCCTAGTGGTTAAGGGAGCAGTATTCCAACATGGCTGACCACATGGTTCAAATCCCAGACTGACTTATAAAATCTGATGGGCATGTGTGCATGTATGCCTTAAATCATAACAAGATGACGAAATGAAGGATTTCAGTGTGACCACACCCCACTGAGGGGTGCTTTCTCCCTCTCTCCCCCTTTCTCTAGAGAGTACATGCGTCTATTTGAACCCCCCCTCAAGAAATGAATATAGTAACACTATGTTGTGAACCTTGAATCCACATAAAAATCATAATTTAAAAAACTGTATTGTAAAATTCTAAGCACTATTTATTAAGTCAATTCATTGAAAATATTGCAAAGTCTAGGCCAGCAGTAGGCATAACAGCTATGTTGCTGGACTCCCATGGAGTTGGACAGCAGTTCGAGTCCTGGACTTGGTGGCTTAAACTCACGCTGGGAGCATGTGTGTGCGTGCGTGCCCAAGATCCCAAGAGGAGAATGGTGGAGAAGTGACTACAGCATGATCATGCCCCCTGGGGAGTGATTTCTCACTTTCTGTCTTTCTGGCAAGCACACATGCCCTATAGCAAAAACTTCTCAAAAAAAAAAAAAAATTGCAAAGTTGAGTGTCACATGAAGAAAGCCAAAAATAAATAAATACAAAGCGTTTATTTGCTAAATGAATGGCATGTTTCAGGACTACGTTTGAGAGAAATAGTAACAAGACTTGACTTTCATTTACGTGTTAGATGGCTTTAGTATCTTCCCCACAGAGCTAACCACCTGATTAGGTTATCACTTTTAAAATAGGTACAGTGCTTGGGAACCAGCAGTTAGCGTAATGGCTATGTTGCTCGACTCCCACGTAGTCGACCGCGGTTCGCATCCCAGACCCAGTGGATTAAAACTCATGCCGGGCATGTGCGCGTGCGTGCCCAAGATCCCAAGAGGAGAATGGAGGAGAAGGGATTGCGTCGTGACCATCCCCCCTGGGAGGTGATTTCTCGCTTTCTGTCTCTATGTCTCTCTGTCTGGCAAGTTCATGCGCCCTATAGCGAAAATCTCCCAAAAAAAAAAAAAAAAAAAAATAAAAAACAGGTACGGTGCTTCAGCATGGAAAAAGCTCTAAAACTATGCTGTTCAGTACAGTAGGGACTAGTTTTATGAACCTACCGAGTACATGAAATGTTGCTAATCCTGAAATGTGCTAGAGTATAAATACATACCGTATTTCAAAAACCTTGTGTCCCCACAAAACTGTGCTATAACTTTTATAATGAGCACGTTGTAATAATATTTGAATATGGTGAGTTCAAACACCTATTTAAAGTATTACAACTAATTTCATCTGTTTCATAGTTTTATGGGTACTAAAATGTTTATAATTCCATGTATGGGTCACACTCTTCTAGTGCACACTGCTAATATATAACCTAATGACACATGTCAACGATTCATTTATAAAAATAGTGAAATACAAGATTTATACTGTTTAATTTTGATAGTCTAAAGTCATAGGAATGGAAAAAGAAACAAACTCAATCAGGAAAATAAATAAAGGCACCTTATTTCTAAAACAATTATCTATTTTCATATAACAAAGCTTTAAGCAGATCAAGAGCCACTAGCCTAGTATCTATTTGAGGATGAATCAGTTCCTTACACTTACTATAGTGAGAAATTACTATGTATAGTTTATGTATAAATGATAACAACATATGACATAAGTGTAGGAAAATCAGTAGCTATTTTTTTTTTTTGACAGGTTTTACTATAGGGCATGTATGCTTGCCAGAAAGACAAAGACAGAAAGCAAGAAATCACCTCCCAGGGAGGATGGCCACACCGCAATCCCTTCTACTCTATTTTCCTCTTGGGATCTTGGGCACGCACGCACACACGCCTGGCATGAGTTTTAAGCGACCGGGTCCAGGATGCGAACAGCGGTCGACTTCGTGGGAGTCCAGTGACATAGCCATTACGCTAACTGCTGGTCCCAAAAGTAAACTATTTCTCAACATAAGTTCTATAAGTTCAACACTTTTGTAAGTGGTGATTCAGCCATTTAGATCATTCCTAAAGAACTAGGAGTCCTGAGACCAGCAGATGATGTAATGGTTATGCCTCTGGACTCCACATGATTGACTGTGGTTCAAGTCCAAGATTAGGAGGCTTGATACTCATGCTGAGCATGTGTGCACACATGCCCAAAATCCCAAGAAGAGAATGTAGAAGAAGGGACTGTGGTGTGGCCACCCCACTGGGAAATGATTTCTAGCTTTCTGTCTATCTGTCTCTCTGGTGAGCATACATGTCCTATAGCAAAAATCTCTCTAAAAAAAAGAGAAAGAACTAGTAGTCCTAAAAATATGAGGTCAGCAGGTGGTGTGGCAGTTAGGGTGGCTGGATTCCCACATGGCTGACCATGGTTCAAGTCCTGGACCTGGCAGCTTGCTTTCTCACTTTCTCTCTTCCTCTCTGCCTCACTCTGGCCAACTCTAAAAAATAAAATAGTGACAGTGAATAAAATTAAAATTATATATAAAAAAAAATTTAACCATGCCAACGTAGCCTTTTTTTTTTTAAAGAGTTTTAACTCAAGAAAAATGAGTACCTTTTAAAAACATCTTACAAGGAAAAAAAGTCAGAAAGAGCCAAATCAGGATCATAAGGGTGATGCCTAATGATTTCCATCAAAATTTTGCCAATATCTTCCTTAACTGATTAAGAGGAGAGAGCAAGAGCACAAGTAGAAAAAGACTGTGGTGGCATTTTCTCCAGTACTTTTCTGCTGACATGTCAACTAACATTCTAACGTCAAAATAAACAGTCGTCACTCTTTGGTCCTTCAGAAAGTCAATGGAAAAATGCCCACAAGCAGCCCAAAAAACTGTGACCATGACCTTTCTTCCTGACCAGTCTACTTTTGCTTTGACTGACTCATTTTCACTTCTTTGTAGCCCTTGCTTTGACTGTGCTGTCTTCAGGATCCTGCTGGTAAAGCCAAGTGTCATCTCCTGTTAAAATTCTTCAAACAAATGCTTCAGGATCCATTCGTTTAAAATTTCTATTGAGGGGGCAGCAAGTGGGATGGTGGTTAAGGGGCTGGACTCCCATGTTTCACTATAGTTCGAGTCCTGGACCCAGCGGCTTGAAAAATCATGCTGGCCATGTGTGCACACATGTTCCAAATCACAAGAGAATGGAGAAGGAATTACGGTGTGGCCATTCCCCCTTAGGGGGTGATTTCTCATTTTCCTTCTCACCGTCTCTCCAGCCAGTGCCCCTGCCCTATGGCAAAAACCCTAAAAAATAAAAAATTCCATTGAAATCTCTGCTCTTATCTGCAGCTAAACTAGGGAGCAACAGTTTTGGCACTCATTAAGCAGAAAGTTTTTCTTGACAGTCAGAAGTCTGTAAACTGAACTGACTGAGGTGTTTACAGTACCAGGTATTGACTCTGCTGTTAATACTCAGATCTCTTCACTAGGGCATGAACAAGATTTTTTTCTTTGCAAAACAATGTGGATAGCCTCCCACTGCAGGTGTCATCTTCAACATTGTCTTGTCTCTTCTTTCCTTTTTTTTTCCTTTGGAGATGGTCTTGTTATAGGGTGCATGCGCTTGCCAGAAGGAGAGACAGAAAGTGAGAAATCAGGGGAATGTCCAGGGGAAATGGCCACGCCACAATCCCTTCTCCTCCATTCTCCTCTCAGGATCCTGGGCAAGCATGCACATGCGGCCGGTGTGAGTTTAATCCACCGCGTCCAGGACTCGAACCACGGTCAACTACATGGGAATTCAGCAACACAGCCATTACGCTAACTGCTGGTCTCTCTTGTCTCTTCTTAAAATGAGTTACTCATTGATAAACTGCTAATTTTGGGGGGTATTATCTCCATAAACTGTTCATAAAACATAAATGATTTCACCACTCTTCCACAGAAGCTTTACCATAAATCTGATGTTTGTCCTTCCTTTAATTTTAGTAGACTTCATGTTGCTCTGATAGAGGTTCTTTCCAAACTGATGTCTTAGCCTTCCCCAGTGTTTCAATCTAGATACTGTTCAGACATGCTGTAATAACTTAGTATGAGTTTATTTTGGTTGAGGGAAAAAAAAATTGAAATCCATCCACAGTTGTTTCAAAATACACACTTCCCATGGTCACTGTGAAGAACCCTTATATACTCTGCACTTAGTGTGACATGGGGTTTTTTTATTTCTACTATGGATCACAGCTCTAGGTATTCACATGGGTTTCTTTAAAAGGATTATATATCCTATCGTGCAGCACTTCCAAAAATACTTCTGCATATCAAGTACTCAAAGGAAATCCAGTTTATTTAACCATTAGATCCTCTCTCACATTTTAAGAGCCTAAAACAAGCACAAACCGATTGTCAGGTACCTGACTTCTAAATTTTAATGTATCCTTTTTTTTGGGGGGGGGGGGACATGAATATTCAAATCCTACATTCACAGCACTGCAAATGTAAGCTTACCATTCCCATAATTGACCTTTTGTGGCATACTAAGGTCTTCTGATCAGTGCAAATGTCAACCCATGTTAGACAATTCAACCTCCAGAGAGAGAAAATTAGAAATTTTAATTTCTTTGATAAAGAGGACCAATTATGTTAAAATATCTTACCATACAAATCTGTCAGAAAGTTATCTCATGGATTACAATAAAAGTTTCATTACTTTTCTCTTACACATAGGTTCATAAGGAGAGTTTATGCTTCTTATCCTTCATATCCACCTCAAATTTCTAGTGACTATTCCCCATTAACTTTAGGAAACTAGTCTCTCTTATATCAGAAGAAAATTATTAAAGAAAAATTTGGATTGTCATGGGAAAATACGATTTCTGTATTTATTCCTATGATCCAGTGTGACTCAGTATAATTCTAAGAATAGTTTATCTTTCTCTAATTCTTCAGTAAACATCTAGCTTCTGATATATAATTAACTCATCTCAGGCAATATGTAGGTGCATGCATCTTAGTGTATATTAAAAAAACACAAAAATGTATAAGACATTTTATTTTATTCTTATCATTTTATTAATAATGCATAAATCGTTCATGGACAGGCATCACCAAATTGACTAAACTCTCTTAGCTACGCTGTGGGAAAAGAATTTTCTATTTACTGATTGACCCAATGCCTGTTCAGAAGCTAGTTAAAAAATGTCATCTTGGACCCCAAATTTATATAATAAATAAATCTAACTTACACAATCAGCATATCTTAAAAAAGGGAAAAAATACTAAAACAGTATCATTTTTGCTCAGCTTTTAAAACACCTGCCCAAGAGGCTTGCTGGGATCAGAAGGAGAGGACTGACAAAGGAACAGCAGCATGTCTGTGAGACTGCCCAGCACCAACGCTTTTGTGATGGGCAGGTTTCTCATACTGATATATCAAAAACACGTTTTGAGGCATAAATGAAAAAAGTCCTCTTTCATTTCTTAAATTTCTTATCCCGTAAGTGTCCACATTAATAAACTTTATACTACCTGTGAAACATTATGACAACATGTGAGTTATAAAATGCACACTCTACAAAAAGGCAAATCAAACAGCAAAAAAACCTAAATCTGGGAAATGTTACTCAATCCTCTCTTTCTCTACTTTATTGATCTGGACACAAGTACATAAAACAGGAAATAAAAGACAGAATCTTGCAGTATTTCCAGAATGATAATAATTAACTTTCCCACCATCAATAAAAGCAAAAAAGCAGCCCATTCAGCCCAGGCCAATTACACAGAAATGGACAGCTTCTATAAAAACAACAGCAGTCCTCAGGTCTGTCTCTCATCATCGTTATAAAGATGTTACTCCACTGTAGTGTTGGCCCAACCTTCTCCACAAGGAATTGGGAGCAGAAATTCTTGCACAGAAGAGAGCCTGGTCACTTTCGTTTCTGCAGCACGATTTGTTCCAACATTTATAATGGCATTCAGTCAGTCACCTACTCCATTGCACATTCCGATCAAATGACATCCAAGGGCATCAGTAGATCATCACCCTGACTGAAAAAAGTTTAAGCACACATTTTTTTTTCCCCAAGAGGGAATGTCTTAAAAATGATCTAGGAAAAAATTCTTAACATTAAAGTAGATTTTGAAAATTCTAAACATATTGAAGAAAATCTCATTTCTGCTTTATAATGTAGGTATTCTTTCCAAGACAGAAGGATATAGGTGGAAAAAAAATAAATAAAAGAAGAATATTCCACTCTTGAACGTAAGATTTTTTTTTAGAAAATTCCAACCACGCAAGAAGAAAACTGGCACAATACTATGTATAGTCCTTCAGTACAAGTTTAAACACGGACAGGAACCCCATGTGACAAAGTACACATATGTAATTAAATAACAAGAAACGTGAGAGCTTTGTCCACAATACTTAGATCTCTAACTTATGCTCTGTGTGAGAGGTAATTCACATTTTCCTACTGAATTTAAATAAACTTTTAAAAGGATAGGGAAACTGGACCAAACAGTTCACTGTTACTCTATCAACTCTAGAAGTAAAGCCGTTACCTGTATGTGTGCAAAAGGCTTGGCCTGGTACGAACTCTGGACAATCGATCAGCTGAGAGAAGTCTGTCTGTGGCACGTTACGTGTAGGAGGAGGACCCGGAATTGGCCATTTTTCTGGTTCTACTTTTTTTCTCATTTTTTCATCCACAATTTCCACTTCTGTGCTATCCTTTAGTGCCTATTGATAGAAATTTTGAGCTATTAAAAAATCTTTCATTCAAAAAATTTCCACTACATGTCCTCATATTTCTTTTACTTTAAAGAATTATTAATTTATTTTTTAATTTGACAAAAAGAGACAGAGAGACAGACAGACAGAGAGAAAGTGAAAAAGGAAGTTGCCAAGTCTGGGATTCAATCCATGGTTGGCCATGTGGGAGTCCAGCACCCCAACTATCGTGCCACCTACTGGCCCCTGTCTTATATTTATAATAACCTAAAAATCAGAAAAGCTGAAATTAGCAAACTGTATTATAGTTAATGGCTCTAAAAATATTCATGAATTAACTACTTAAAACAGAATACCTTTTTTTTTATTTTTGGGAGAGGTTTTTGCTACAGGGCATGTGCACTTGCCAGTGAGACAGAGACACAGAAAGCGAGAAATCACCCCCCAGGGGATGGTCACGCCACAATCCCTTTTCCTCCATTCTCCTCTCGGGATCTTGGGCACACATGCACACGCGCCTGGTGTGAGTTTAAGCCACCAGGTCCGAGCCTCAAACCGTGATTGACTACATGGGAGTTTGGTGACATAGCCATTACACTAACTGCTGGTCCCAGAATACTTTTTTTTTTTCCCAGGTTTTTGCTATAGGGCAAGTGCGCTTGCCAGACAGAGACAGAAAGCGAGAAATGACCCCCTAAGGGGGATGGCCATGCCGCAATCCCTTCTCTTCCATTCTCCTCTCAAGATCTTGGGCACGCATGCACATGCATCCTATGTGAGTTTAAGCCACCAAGTCCAGGACTCGAACCCCGGGTGACCTACATGGGAGTCCAGCTACATAGCCATTACACCAACTGCTGGTACCAAAACAGAACAAAATTTAAAACCATTAGTCTCTGTAAAGTAGACCTAGCACTGATATCATACAACTATATAAATTTCAAAAAACGTACTTTCCAGGGGCAGCAGGTATGTGGTGGTTAAGGCAATGGACTCCCACATAACCAGCCACTGTCAAGAGTTTCAGACCTGGCAGCTTGCTTTCTCGCTTTCTCACTTTCTCTTTCTCATTCTGGTGAGTGCACATGCCCTAGAGCAAATAAAAAAATTATTTAAAAAATGTATCCTTTAGTAGAAACCAATGTTATTTCTTTTTTGTTTATTCCTCCTGATAGTTTATGCTTATGAAACTAAAACTATGATATACTGCATACATCATGATGTCCCTTACTCTTTTTTTTAATAAAAAAAAAAAAGAGAAAGAAAAAAAGAAGCATATGTTTGAAGATACTAAAGTGTTGGGCAAGGTATATAGAATTGACTAAAAAGGACCATGAAGGAATTTTTTCAAGTAATGGAAACATAAGTTGCTTGTAGTGAGGCTTAGATATAATTTTCAAATTCACACTGAACTTTCACAATTAACTATTGAAAATCACTGTCACTCTCAGGACTAACAGATGGTGTAATGGTTACCTCGATGGACTGCTCCCCATCAAGTTAACCATGGTTTGAGTCCTGGACCCAGTGGCTTAAAACTCACTCCAGGAGTGGATGTGTGTGTGCCCAAAATCCTGAAGGGAGTGGAGGAGAATGGAATGTGGTGTGGCTATGCCCCCCCCCCCGGGGGTGCGGTGATTTCTTGCTTCCTAACTCTTTCTGTAGCAAGTGCATGAGCCCTATAGCAAAAACAAAAAAAGAAGAAAAGAAAAATGAAATAAGAAATACACTGGGAATGTGTGCATGTGTGCCCTAAATATCTCGAACAGGAGAAAGGATTGTGGGGTCCATTCGCTCTGAGGAGTGCTATCTCACTTTCCCCTTTCTCCCCTCACGCCACCACCAAGCACACTAGCACTACAGCAAAAACTTTAAAATGAAGCAGCAGTTGGCGTCGTGGCTATGTTGCTGTACTCCCAAGTAGTCGACTGCAGCTCCCCGTGGCTTAAATTCACACCAGGCATGTGCGTGTGCATGCCCAAGATCTCAAGAGGAAAATGAAAGACAAGGGACTGCAATATGGCCATCCCCCCCTGTGGGGGATGATTTCTCACTTTCTGTCTCTGTCTCTCTGGTGAGCCCATGCACCCTGTAGCAAAAAAAAAAAAAAAAAAAAAAAAAAAACCCAGCAGAGATAATGTAATGGCTGTATCACTGGACTTCCACATAGTTAACTACAGTTCAAGTCCCAGACCTAGCAGCTTAAAACCTCACACTGGGCACATGTGCGTGTGTGCCCAAAATCCCAAGAGGGGAATGGAATAAAAGGGGTTACAAAATGGCCATCCCAACTGTGGGATGATTTCTCACTTTCTGTCTCTGCCTCTTTAGTGAATGTACACGCCTTACATCAAAAACCTCTCTAGGGACCAGCAGTTAGCATAATGGCTATGTCGCTGAACTCCCATGTAGTCGAAAGCGGTTCGAGTCCTGGACCCGGTGGTTTAAACTTCACGCCAGGTGTGTGTGCATGCATGCCCAAGATCCCTAGGAGAACAGAGAAGGGGTTGCAGTGTGGCCATCCCCCCCCGGGGGGGGTGATTTCTCACTTTCTGTCTCTTTCTGGCGAGCACACGTGCCCTATAGCAAAAACCTCTCAAAAACAAACAAACAAACAAACAAACAAACAAACTCTCTCAAAAAATTTTTTTTTGTTTTAAAAGGGGAGCGAGCAGGCAACACAGTGGTCAAGGCATTAAGAGTCTCACATGGCTGACTGCGGTTGAATTGTGGACCCAGCAACTGGAAACTCACACTGGGTGTGTGAGCATGTGTACTCAAAATCCCATAAGAAGAATGGAGGAATACAAATAGTGACTAGGGGATGATTTCTTACTTCTCTCTCTCTCTGGCAAACACACATGTCCTATGGCCAAAACCAGGGAAAAAAAAAACAAAAACAAAAAACACGTGGGCTAAATAACTCAAAAGTTCTGGGCTAGCTGGTGGCTGATGATTAAGGCACTTCATTCCACGCGGCCAACTGAACAGCTGGTGTCCTGGATCTGGCGCTTGAAAAAATACACTGGGACTGTGTGACTGTACTCAAAGTTCCTGAGAGGAGAAAAGACTGAGGCATGGCCGTCTTCCCTGGACAGTGCTTTCTCACTACTTCTCTTTGTCTCTACTTTGAATTAACCTTTCTATGGCATGTGAACAATTCTCGAAGTTTTACTAAACGGGAATATATACAATTTTAAAACAATCTGAGGCTTAGCCAAGGACCGAGAACATTTAAGAAAGTATAAGTTTGAAAGATTTGAAAGATTATGTTTAAAATAGGTGGAAATATGATTAGCAAGTCTTTGAAAGCCTTCCAAAATCAAACATGTATTTGGGTTTTACAAAATCAAAATGGTGGTAAGTCATGAAATGTCGTTCGAGCCTCAGACAACTAGAATATTTGTTTATTTAATACTTTCAATACTTTTTTTAAGAGCAGTTTTAGAGTCATAGAAAAGTGGAATGGAAACTGTGGATTGCTTTTACATCAATAATTACCTCTAAAATGAGATTAACATTTGTAGTAAGAGCCTGAACCCGGTGAAAGCCGGCAATCAGCGAAATAGGCAGGAAACCTTGTTCATCCATCTTTCTCCGAAGAAAAAAGTCTCTTTCTAAATTTTCTATACTGAAGTAATATTCGCTGAAAAAGTAAACATAAACTTCATTTGTTTATTCAATGAAATTCTCTACTGTTTATACCATCAACTGCTATAAAGTATTGATTATTTTCAAAAAACAATAAATAGCTTCTATTTTTATCAGCTTTGCCTAAGAAAACAAAATCAAGCAGTTCGTTTTACTTTATAATAGCTCCATAATTTTAAAAAAAAACTGAACTAAAAAAAAAAAAAAAGGCACCTGTTACTGAAAAGTGATTTTGAGCTTCCTTTCACTAGAGGGCAAAAAGAAACCACCTTATTAAATACATGTAAATATATAAATTTTTCTGATAGCCTGACATTTATTCGACTAATCAAAGTACAAAGTTTCTTGTAGATTAGTGAAATACTACTAACATCTTAGTCAATCCTAATAAATCATTTATTCTTCTTCAACACTGAAGAAAAAAATCTAAGTCTTAAATAAACATTCTAAAACAATTGGTGGTATGGTAGTTAAGGCGGTAGATCCCACATGGCTAACTCAGCAGTTCAAGTCCCAAGCCCAGCAGCTTCAAAAACACATGAGTCATGTGTGTATCCATGTCCAAAATCCTGAGAGGAGAAGGGATTGCAGTATGGTCATCTCCTTTAAGGGGTGACTTTTCATGTTTCTCTCTGTCTCTCTTCAGCATGCACACGTACCCTACAGCAAAAATCTGAAGAAAAAAATAAATAAACAAACATTTTGATTTTCATTATATTTCAGAGGCCCTACTCATCAAGCCTGGCCTGCGAAAGGCACATAATATATACTAAAACTTTAAAATTTCACTTTAAGACATTTGATATAGATACAAGTTACAACTGTTCTTAGATGCAAACTTCCTGCAAATCAATAAACAGTCCTTTAAATGTAATACTTTTGAGAAAGCCATCGTATCAAAATAAATTCATAAATTACCCTAACCTACATCTTTAAAAAATTTCTCATAGAGGGTCAGCAGGTAGCATGGTGGTTGGGGCACTAAACTCCCACATGGCCAACAACAGTTCAAGTCCTGGATCTGGCAGCTTCCTTTCTCATTTTTTCTCTGTCTCTCTCGCGCATGTGTCCTATAGCAATTTTTTAAAATAATAACAAATAAATCTTAAAAAAAAATTCTTTCTTTTTAAGAGAGGTTTTGGCCATAGGGTGCATGTACTTGCCAGAGAAATGGAAAGTGAGAAATCACTCAGGGGGGTGGGGGGGACATGGCCCCACCACAATCCCTTTCCTCCATCCTCCTCTCGGGATCTTGGGCATGCATGCGCACACAAGTACCTAGCATGAGTTTTAAGCTTCTGGGTCTAGGACTCGAACCACAGTCAACTACTTAAGAGTCCAGCAACATAACCATTACACCATCTGCTAGTCCCTAAAAAATATTTTCTAATAGGCTGCAAAAATACTAACCTGTAAATCTGAATGCCAAGAGTCTATCCCAACTAGAAATGTCCAAGATCTTAAAATTCTAATACTCTGATGTCGAAAACAAATTATTAATATAAATTTTCACATAAACTGATAAAAAATAATACCAACTATTTTGAATATACTTAAGTCTCTTACTTTAAAGTACATATAATGGGAGCCGGCAGGTGCGTGGTGGTTAAGGTACTGGATTCCTACATGGCCAACTAACAGACTTGGTGGCTTGCCTCCACTTCCCCAGCCACTGCGCTATCACACTCTGGGCTAATTAAAATAATAATAAATAAAATTAAATCATTCCTTAATTAATAAATAAATAAATAAATAAATAAATAAAATGCATTTAGCATCAGGCCAGTCCAAGCCTTGGTGGTTACATGAGCTGGATACCACATGGATGGCCAACTTTACAGTTGGTGATAGACCTGGAAACTTGAGAAATATGCTGGAAGTATATGCATGTGTGCACAAAATTCCCTAAGGAGAGAGAAGAGGAGAAGGGACTGTAGCAGGACCACTTCCCGTGGGTGTTCTCTTCCCCCACCCTAACAAGTGAGTGCAAACATCCTCTCGCAAAGAATTTGGCATCAATTTTCCAAAAGCATACAAAAAATCTTAAGTGACTTCTTAAAAGAGTGACCATGCCCCTTTGTGGAGTGAGGGGGTGACTTCTCTCTTGCCTGCGTTCTCTCTCTCTCTCTTCTCCCCCCACCCCCGCCCCACTCCAGAAAGCCCAAGTGCCCTTTAGCAAAGGAAAAAAAAAAAAACTTCCATGACACAATGTCGAAAGCGTGACTTCCCAAAGCCTGATCTTTGCTAATTAAAGAATGATAACAGTAAGAAGCTACCCTCACCCTGGTGCTTCACAACTATTTGTGAAAAAAACTACTGCTAAGATAGCAACAAAAAAGTCACAATCAGTGCTGTGTCTGACATTTTGCTCAGCATCCTGGGGACATTATCATGTCCTCCCTTAGAAGCTCTGGATTCTACACCGCATGGTCAGAAATACTGTCAACACTGAAGCTCTGCTCCTCCCTCACTTGCATGAGTACACTGGAGGCTGATTATCCTGACATAGGCTGCATGTCCTCTGTCAGGTCTCCCAAGGGACCTGGCAGCAAGAGTTACAAAAATGACAGCAATAGTGGTATGAAGTTGGATAGCCACATGCCAGGCCCTTTCTGCCCATAAAAAGGCCCTTTTCTTCAGTTTGCATCAACTGGAACAAGCAAGAATAAAATAAATAAGTTGCCCCACATTGTAAACCATTCAAATTCACCATGAAGGCATCCCAGGAAGGTACCCCACTAATGCTGATGAAATTATTTCCCAGTAACAGAGCAGGGTCCATCTTCCTTCTTAAATAAAAATGAATGTTTTAAAAATGTTTATGCCATTAAGTCCCATTCTTTCACCTTGTATGGACAGAAAAAAATAATTCGAACTTCAGCAAACTGGTTTTGGGAATCACATGGGAACAACATTCTTGTCACTATATAAGTATGCAAAAATATCCAATACAATACTAACGTACATTGAGTTGTTTCGTTTGTTTTTTAAGCTATAGGGTACATGCACTCACCAGAGAGACAGGGGAAGTAAACAAATCACCACCACCCCCTGTGGGATGGTCATGTCACAATCCCTTCTCCATTCTCCTCTCAGGATATTTTTGGCACACATGCACATGTGCCCTGTGTGACTTTTAAGCCACTGAGTCCAGGATTCGAACTGAGGAGTTGGCCATATGGGATGCAGCTGCCTTAACCTCTACAACACTGGCTGGCCTGAGGTTCTTTTTTTGTTGTTGTTGTTTTCTAAAAGGACAACAAAACTAATATTCTTTTTTTTTTTTCTTTTTTTCTTTTTTTGAAGAGGTTTTTGCTATAGGGCGCGTGCGCTCGCCAGACAGACAGAGAGAGACAGAGAGACAGAAAGCAAGAAATCACCCCCCAGGGGGGATAGTCACGCCGCAATCCCTTCTCCTCCATTCTCCTCTCAGGATCTTGGGCACGCACGCACACGCACCCGGCGTGAGTTTAAGCCACCGGGTCCGGGACGCAAACCACGGTCAACTACGTGGGAGTCCAGCGACATAGCCATTACGCTAACTCCTGGTCCCAAAACTAATATTCTTCTGATTTCAAACTTAGTACCAAAAAAGCTGCTACTATGAGAGCTACAGTAAGAAGTCTTAATTAAGATTAGGTAGAGACAGGTCAGCCACTAGCGAGGTGGCTACGGCAGGTGGATTTCACTTGGCTGATTGCGCAGTCTTGGTCTTCCACCCAAGCACACTGTGTGCATACCCAAAAATCCCAAAAGAAGAAAAGTAGAAGGGTTTCCAACATGACCACTTCCCACAGGGGTTGCTTTCACATATTCCCCCTCCAGCAGGTACATGTTTCCTCTACCAATTAAAAAAAAAAAATCTGAGAACCAGCAGTTAGCGTAATGGCTATGTCGCTGGACTCCCACGTAGTCAACCGCAGTTTGCGGCCCG